AGGATGTGGAGTGGCCACCACTCACACACGCTGCTGGTGGTTAGTGGAAACAGACAGTTTGGACCACTGTCTGCTCACCACGACGGCCCGCAGCTCCACTCCTAGCCGTGTACCCCCTGGAGACCATGACTGTTCACGGAAGTCAGGCACTCTGTGCTCACGGCAGCGGCCGCTGTAGGAACGACCCGATGCCCACCAGCAGGGGTGGATGCATACCTGCCGCGCACTCACACCCTGGACGGCTGCGCAGCTGCGGGATTAGGTGGTCTGTGGCTCTGCACAAGATGAATCGCGCAGACGGGTTGTGAGTGAATTAGCCAGACGTGATGAGACGCACACTGTGATGCCATTCACGTGCCAAGAAAGAATGGAAGGAGCGCCCCTATGCTGTTAGAATAAGGGGAGTGGGCTGGGGAATAGTAACAGCTGGGGCATGTTGTGGGGACCATTTGTTATTCACAAATTCTCAATTGGGGCGATAAACATCCTACCCTGTGGTGTAGAGAGCACGGGCAGCTATAGGGTATTACCATAGCGGATGTCATACCTGACATACCATGTTGTAAAGATGTGTTGCAGACACAGTATGGCCCCCAAGAAGATGCCACCCCCTCAATCCTGGGACTGTGAGTAAGTTATAGGGCCAAAGGGACTTGGCAGATGTAATTAAGGTTCCTAATTGGTTCAGATAGGGATATTATTCTGGCTTTTCCGAGTGGGCCCAGTGCAACCACACGTGCCCTGTGCTAAGAGCAGAAAGGGTGATGGAAGACCGAGCACAGGATTGGCCTGGGCTGCTGGCATGAAGATGGCGGGATCACGTGGGAACCGCGTGAATGAAAGGGATTATGCTAACAACCAGATGAGCACACAGTAGTCTCCCCAGCTAAGCACGGATGTCCATTTTCCAAGCCCCTCAGCCAAGCGCTCAGCTGAGCCTGCCCGGCTCCTGATCCATAAAATCGATGTGACAGCCAATGGGTGTTGCTTTAAATCCTTCTCATCTGGGGGTGGGGGGGTACGTTCCCAGACACCCAGTGATGCCTGAGACTGCAGACAGTACCAAACCCCATGCATGTTTTCCATTTACATACAACCTATGATAAAGTTTAATTTGTAAATTAGGCACAGTGAGAGATTGCCAACGATAACTAATAATAAAATAGAACCATTTTAACAACATGCTGTAATAAAAGCTATGCGGATGTGGCATTATCAAGTAAAATAAGGGTGACTTGAACACACGCTCTTCAATACCTCGACAGTCAATCTGATAACCAAGACGGCTACTGAGTGATGAACGGGCAGGGAGCCTCTACCGTGTGGATGTGCCGGACAAAGGGATGAGCCATAGCCCAGCATGAGATTTCATCACACTACTCAGAACTGTGCCCAACTCAAAACTTATGGCCCTCGCTGGTTTGGCTCAGTGGATAGAGTGTTGGCCTGTGGACTTAAGGTTCCCGGGTTTGATTCTGGTCAAGGGCACATGCCCAGGTTGCGGGCTTGATCCCCAGTAGAGGATGTGCAGGAAGCAGTCCATCAATGGTTCTCTCTCATCAGTGATGTTTCTCTCTCTCCCTCTCTCTTCCTCTCTGAAATCAATAATAAAATATTTTTAAACCTTATGAGTTGTTTATTTCTGGAACGTTTGCATTTACTATTTTTGGACCACGGATGATCATGGGTAACTGAAACTGTGGAAAGTGAAACTATGGATCAGGGGGGTTACTATACATATTATGCTCTTAATTTCTGTTAATCATTATGATCAATTTCATCGTTTTATGCCCACACAGCACTGCTTACCTCACTCTGTAGCACTTACTATGGTTGTAATTCTCTACTTACGTGTCGAGAATTAAGTTAATTGACTGCCACCATGGGAGCGGGGTGCTGGGTTTCTGCTCACCATGGTACTCCAAGCGCCTCGCGCATAGTGTGTGCTCAGTAGACACTTATGGAGTGAATGAATGGATGCACTGTTTCCCAAGGTGCCCCAGTGGTCCTCTGAACTGCCGTGAACACGCTGGTCTTTACCGTCTACCCCGGGACTCACCGCATTCTGAGGCTGTTGCACGAGCTTCATGAGCGCAGGATGGTTGTAACCTGGGGATGGGAAGGTGGTTAGAGACCAACATCGCAGCTGTGGGCCCTGCGCCCCTCCTCCATTGCCCGCCCCTCCCTTCCTTTCCAACCTCTTCTCATGCCGCCACTTCTTGGCAGACAAAAACACCCATGGCTGGGCCCACCCAGACCCCCTGACTCAGAATCTCTCAGGGTGTGGCCCGGAAATCTTCAACAGGTTCTCTAGGCAATTCTGGGGTTCAGGTTTGAGACCTACAGAGCTACACAGACATAAGAGGAGCTGGGTGCAGGTGAAAGCGAACTTCCAGGTCTGGGAGGGCTTCCCCAGGCCAGCGTGATGAATCACAAATGTGGTCCCCACTTTCTCCCCCAGCGCCAACAGATGGAGTCAAGCTGCTTTAAGTGTTGGCTCAGGAGCCCAGTGAGTGCGTGGCACAACCTGCCATCTGAGGCCGGCGTACCGGTTCTGCCTTCACACATCTGCTTATTCCCAGAGTCCCGTGGCATTTACTGTCCAGCCTGGGCCTGGCCCTCCACCACAAGGTTTAAGACACCCTTTGACTCAGCAATTACTCTTCTATGAATTTATCCTGCACCTGTGTATGAAGACCAATGTACACACATCCTAACTGTGCCACTCCAACATCTCCAGGCTTGAAAGCTACCGAAAGTCCATCAACAGCAGATCAATTGTTGCCAGGGTTAGCAATGAAGAGAAAACTCCTGCACACAGCTCAGAAAGTGGAAGCTTTTATTGTAAAGGGCGGGGGTGTAAGACAGGACTGCCCACACCAGAGCCAGATGTCCTGGGCTCAAAGGCTTTACTTCCGTTTACTGAGCATCTACTATGTGCAGGGGGTTTTCTGTTCATTATTGCGAGTCCTGGCCACAACTCTCACGGCAAGGAAAAGTTTGTAGGCGGCACCGAGGTCAGGAGACCAGATCGGAAGACCCTCAACGGCAGTGGCAAGTGTTCAGCTCAATGGATATCAGCTGAGTGAATGAATAATGCAGAGACCCAGCAACATGGAAAAACTCCAAACTGACGTATGTGAGAAAAGGCTCATCCGTGAATCTGGGAGCAGGTCACAGAACTTGGAGAAAAGCTCTCAGTCTTCAAGCATCACCATTTTTATGGCGCACACCTTGTACTTATTTTCTTTCAGTCGATTCATTTTTTTAATTTAAATACATTTACTTTGAGAGGAGACTTTAGAGTACAATGGTGAGAGGCCTGCCCACCTCTGAGCTTGGGGCCCGCTGCCTCCAGAGTAACAGATTAGCCAGTTTAGACGGGTATGAAAGACCCAGCATCACCCGGGGTGGGGGGCAGGGGGCCGTCTCCTCCATGCAATCAGAGAGTGAGCAGATGTGGTTTCACTCAGCCTGCTGCAGGGAGCATGGACTGGGGGCAGGATTGGGCGGGGGCGGGGGGGCGGTTGGGCCAACCATCCCCTTCTGTCCCCATGCCAACCCGAGGTGTGCTGGGCCCAAGGCTGGAAAGCGCTCATTACTCAAGGAAGGAACATGGTGGGTGTTTTCCCCCTGTTTTCTGGCTCGAGGCCTCTCAGCTCTGCGCTTTATCACACTGCCTGGTGTGTGTGACTTCTCTGCCTCAGATGAGCAGGTATGAGATCACAGATTCAGCTTGTCTACCGGCTTCATTAGGACAGATGAAAGCAGAGTGGGCCCCTCAGATCAGGGAACTCCTACCCTGGGCCTTCGAAGCCCTGGACCGCCCCCCACAGCAGGGCAGGGGCAGCCGTCTGGGAGGCTGCTGTCACAGAAGTAAGCAGAGAGGCAGTGAGTCGCTGGTTGAAATCCTTTGGCTTCTTGGACACACTGGGCAAACCCTGCACCTTCTCGAAAGCTGGCTCCCCCATCAGTAAACAGGTGGGGGTGTGAAATGCTAAAGTAACCAACATTATAGGACTGTTGTGGGGATTTAATAACATGAAAGGCACTTAGCAATATGCCAGGCATAGAGCAAATTCTCAGTGATTAAGAGTTTAAAAATCACCTCAAAGGCTACAGATATGGGAGAAAAGGTGGCGCGAGAGAGAAACTTAGAACTTCTAGTCTTTTTAACAGCTGCTGCCGGCCTGATCCTCCCGTCCCAACACACATACACTGGCTGGCTGGGGAGTCCAACCGAGGGAGCCTCGCGGGGAGAGGGAGGGTGGAGGAGTCACTGGCCCACAGCCCCATGACTAATACATGGTGGAGCCAAGATGCAAACCCAGGATCACTCGAATCTAATCCCTTTCCCTCTGAGGCAAAATGGAGGTGGGCTGGTAAACCTTAGCATCCCAAATGCCTACCAAGGCCGAGGCATGTCTGAATGACGGGACTCTCCAGAGAGAATGAGTCACCCACTTACTGTCTAATTGCACCTTCATGGGGAATAAATAGGTGGGAGGCACTGCGATGGGGGAAGCGGAGGAGGAGTGGGGACCTGATTTGGGGTCTCGGGGGAAGGCCCTGGCTGCCGGGGTGGGAGCTGCTGACGAGTGGGAGCACAAGGGGCCAGGCTCCACTGACAGCCTACAGCCCAGGGATCCAAGGGGAACCCACAGACCAGAGAAACATCGGCCATCCAAGCTGCAAACACCAGCTACTGCAGGTCCAGGTCAGCCTGTCCATCCTGTCACCTGTCCCTTCCTACAGCAGCAAGTCACGCTCCGTGTGACCAGAAATGAGCCTGTGAGGCAGGTGCTGCTGGTGGCCCCATCCAGGCTCCTTGGCACCTGTGCTGCGCAGGCCACCGCCTCCCAGCTGCTGTGCATGCGTCTGATAAGGGCTCCAGCTGCCTCCGGCTCTGGAAAATCGCCCTTGGTGCCTGGAAGCCACTTCACCCCAGAGCTGACAAGTCCTTCCTTCTGGCAGCTGACGGGCAATGCCCGCCTGGCACAGAGGTACACAGAGGCCGGTCTCTTTGCTGCAGGCTGGGACCAACTCTGGGGTGCAATGCATGCTCAGGAGCACCCTGGGGGACCAGGCAGTGGTTGGTCTCCGGCTGACAGCTCATCCCTCTTAGCTTTCCCCCCTGCCCTGTACTGTTTCCCCTCCCCCCGCTTTCTGCCGAGAGCTCTCTCTCAATAAACTACATGCACAGAATCCTGCCTCGGGCCCCTCCTCTGGGAAACCCAATCACAGACAGCGGACATCAAACTCTGGTCACACAGACCTGGGCCCACATCCCGGCTCAGCTTCCTCGCAAGCTGCTAAGCTCCGCTTCTCTATCTGCAAAACCAAATACTAATACATACCTACCTAGTAGGTTTAGGGGGAGGAGTAAACGAGAGAAGACATGTAAAGTCCCTGGTAACACACCCTCTATGAATAACTGTGGCTTTCTTCTGCCCTTGAGGGAAGTGTCTGGTAACATGCGGGCGGGCGTGCTGGAAGGGACTTGCGGAGGCTGGGTAGCCACGGCTAAGAGAGAGAGGTTACCTTCAAGGACGGGTGTTCCAGCTCTTACCTATGGGGACAGAGGAGATCTGGGAATAGAGATCCAGCATTCGGTTGCCATCCACGTCGACCAGGTAATTGCCTCGGCTCTCTTCGTAATTGCAGAAGAAGTGCACAGCCTCTGCGTTCTTCGGGAAAAGACAGACTGAGTCAGGCTCACGCCACTCCCGAGTCCTCCATGTTTAGGATTCAGCTTGAATCAGGGAAAAGGACCACGACCCGACCAGTCTATGGACATGCGGAAGGTCTCTGCGGGTGCCAGAAATGCCACATTTCCTCCCCGGGGTAATTACACGGGTGATTTGCTTTACGATAGTTTATGAAGCTGTGAATTTGTATTGTATGCAGTTGTCTGTGCTGTTTTACATATCACATCAAAAAGGTTGATCTGTATCTCTCAAGATGATTCTGATAGGATGTATATGGTAAGCCATAGAGCACCCATGAAGAAAACTAAAAACACACACATAGTAATTATGGAAGAAATAAAAATGTTAGACTAGAAGTTACTCACTTAATGCAAAAACACAAAGTAAAAGAGGCACAGGGGAACAAAAAGGATATGAGACAAAGAGGAAAAAAATGTAACAAGGAAGATGTAAATACAACCATATCAATAATAACATTAACTGTGGACGGACTGAGCAATTTAATTAAAAGTCAGAAACTGTCAGACTGCATTAAAAAGGTTCAGCCATAAGCTGTTGACATGCCACACACTTGAGTTTCAAGAATTCAAATAGGTTAAAAGTAAAAGGATGAAAAAAGATACATGAGCCCTAGCCGGTTTGGCTCAGTGGATAGAGCATTGGCCCGTGGACTGAAGGGTCCCAGGTTCCATTCCAGTCAAGGGCATATACCTCAGTTGCAGGCTCAATCCCCAGTCCTGGGTGGGGTGCGTGTGGGAGGCAAACAATTGATGGGTCAATGTTTCTCTCTCAGTGTCTCTCCCCCTCCCTTCTATTTTCTCTAAAAGTCAATGGAAAAATATCTTGGATGAGGATTGACAACAACAAAAAAGATAACATGATTCTCACAGCAATCATAAGAAAGCTGGAATGGTCTATACCCGTGGTCGGCAAACTGAGGCTTGCGAGCCACATGTGGCTCTCTCTTTGGCCCCTTGAGTGTGGCTCTTCCTAAGCCTTAGGACTACCCTAATTAAGTTAATAACAATGTACCTACCTATATAGTTTAAGTTTAAAAAATTTGGCTCTCAAAAGAAATTTCAATCGTTGTACTGTTGATATTTGGCTCTGTTGACTAATGAGTTTGCCGACCACTCTATACTAATATCAGACAAAATCAACTCTAGAATGAACAACAACAACAACAACAAAATGTTCCCAGAAGTAAAGAGAGGCATTTAATGATGACAAAGAGTCAGCCCACTAAGAAGATACAACAATTATAAACATACATGGACCTAATAACAGAGCCTCAAAATATATGAAGCAAAAATGGACAGAATTAAAGGGGGAAATAGTTCTACAAGAATAGTTCTAATTTCTTAAATAAAACCTGAAGTGAAAAACCTAATGATAATAATAATAATAATAATAATAATAATAATAATAAAAAGGATAGTTCTACAAGAAAGTTGTTATGTCCTGGAGACTTCAATACGTGGCTTTCAATGATGGACAGAACATAGGCAGAAGGTTAACAAGGAAGTAGACATGAACAATGCTTAACCCAATATCTCACCGGTACCCACAGAACACCCCACCCAGCGACAGGGCAGTGCACGTTCTTCTCAGGTACACAGGAACATTTTCCAGGATAGACCATATGCGGGGCCATAAAAAGGCTCAATACAGTTAAGAGAATTGAAAACACACAAAATCTGTTTTCTGACTACAATGCAATGACATTAGACATCAGTAACAGAAACTTGAGAAGTTCACCAAAATGTGGAAATCAAAGAACACAAAAATAACCAATGAGTGAAAGAAGAAATCACAAGGAAAATGAGAAAAAAGGGTTCTGAATAACTTTTTTTTTTCCTTTTGAAAAGAGCCAGCACAGAAAAGCATCTGTGCCCCTCAGCTAAATTGTACTAGAGAAGCAATGGAAGGAACGTTGCCTCATCGCCACTTACCTGAATTGTATTCAGCTGTTTCATTAACTCCTGTGGGCAAGAAAAGCAAGAGCATTACAGCAAGGACACACTCTTCAAAGTAGTTTAAAATCGTTCAGGTCTTCCCAAGTCTTGGGGCTGCTTTTCCCTTCATGCGAATAACTTCATAGTTAAGTAGTCAACGATATTATAAATATTTAAAAATTGCTTAATATAAATTGTTGGTGGGAAACTACTCCTGACAGTTAAGTGATCATTACAATGGACAGACTGGAGATTTAGGCATTGGAAGATAATTAAATAAACTAAAATATTTAACAAAAAAATTAAGTTGAAGGCGTTTACCTATGTCCATAGAAGCATGGGTTTTACTTTTTATTTAGAAGAAAAAAGACTTTAACACCATGTTAGGAAAATAAAATCAACTGAAAAATATAAATTTGCACCCAAAGACCCATTTATAATTACTGTATAATCCAGATATTTTATAAACCACTGTGCAATTCTATATGGAAACTGGGGATTATACAGCAGTTGCTTTAATATTATAAAGATTTAACCTCTAAAAATGATTTAATATAAAATAAACTTTGGCAATTAGTGTCATAAAATTATATATGTCCACATTAAAATAGAAAATATTAATTAAAATATTAAAAATCTATTCCCAAAACATTTCATTACTATTAAACGAAAATCTACCGATTCCCAATAGAAATATGTGTGGGAAAGTCTCCTTTTGTGAGCAGACACTCTCCATAATAACTACAATCATTTATCAGAAAAGGATTTCTGGATTTATAAATAGTTGCACTGACAAAAGGGGGGGGTATCTTTTGACACTAAAAAATGACACTGGAGAAAACTGCAAAATATGCAAAGAAAAATTTAATTTGTACTAAATATGGTTACAGTTATTTTTTAGTGCAAACATTAGAAACAGTATTGCACATCACTTCACAGAATCAAGGTTAGTCAGCCTCCAAAATGTGTCAGATGCAGATTTTGTAGCATCTTTGAGTAAAAGTTCCAGTCTCCATCATCACTCAACTTGTGTCTCTTCCAACTCACACATTGACATTTACTCCAGGAATCCAGAGCTATCCAATGTCTCTCATATGCCATGTACTGTCACCCTGTATGCCTCTCCACATACCGTTCCCCTTGCCTAGAACAGAATGCACTCCTTTGGCAAATTCCTCCTTTTCGTCCTTCAAGGTCAAGTGCAAGGTCATTTACTATCCATTCCCTGCGCTATATAGCTTTGCCATGTTCTTCCACTGTTGGTAGGATGTTCTGCCCCAGCCCTTGACCTGCTTTGGCCAACAGAACAAGGTGGAAGTGATGGTGGACCAGTGTGGGACTTGGGCATGCTCTCCTCTACCATCACCATGAGAACTAGCCCAGCCCAACTTACTGGAGGATGAGAAACACATGGAACAGAGCGAACAGAGCCAAGTCACAGCAGTGACCAAGCCAAGCCTAGCCTAGACCAACTGATGGCCAGTCATTCCCCAGGCATGAAGGTGGGCCCAACAGAGCTGCCTGGCCAACTCCCAGTTACCCCTAGGTGCAATCTGTATGCTACTAAGGTTTTGTGACTGTTTGTTACACAGCATTATTGTGGCAGCAGGTACTGATACATCTCCTCTGAGAAGTCTTCTTTGACTTCTTATAGCAGAATGGCCTTGTTGAATGTCCCAGATCTCTAGTGGTAAAATCTCTGAAAGCAGCTAAGAAAACAGTGCCTACGTTTGGCTGTATTCTTGCCTCACTGACCCTTTCTGCTCTTTTCCAAAACTCCCACTCAGGTATGCTCAACTCACCCGAGATTTAGGCCCGGGGACTTCTGTCTTCATCAGAGGCCCATCATAATCAAATTCCACGTCGACTTTGGCTGCAGCCTGACTGATATGCCTGGATCCTGCAGGAAACAAAGAGAGTGAGAACCCATGGGGATAGCAGGTATAGTGAGAATTCTGCCCTGACTCCCAGTGTTCCCAACAGAGGCAGTCCCAGGACCTCAACCCCATCCCAGCCAGACCACCCCAGAACACTGAGTCTGGCCTGATCTGGGCACCACAAAAACACTGAGGATTTTAAAAAATATATATATTTTATTAATTTTTTACAGAGAGGAAGGGAGAGGGATAGAGAGCCAGAAACATCGATGAGAGAGAAACATCGATCAGCTGCCTCCTGCACACTCCCTACTGGGTATGTGCCCGCAACCAAGGTACATGCCCTTGACCAGAATTGAACCTGGGACCCTTGAGTCCACAGGCCAATGCTCTATCCACTGAGCCAAACCGGTTAGGGCAAACACTGAGGATTTTTTAAAAATGGGAAAGCCCAGTGCCAGTGATGTTGTAGAGAAATGACCTAAATGTCCGGCAATAGAAGGTAGCTAAATAGAATATGATGTATACCCCATTTCATGAACAATGGAATATTGTGCATCCTTTAATAGTTTCAAGATAGACATATTTAATATTTATGGGTATGCAAAGATGCCCGGGGTATTAGCATGTGAACGATCAGATTAGAAAATCATCCAAATTTTGTAAAAATTCAATCTATATCCAAATGTATATAGACCAGAATCTCGAAGCCTTGGCACTGCTGACATTTTGAACTTGGAAATTCTGTGTCGTGGGCTGTCCCGTGCCCTGCAGATGTCGAGCAGCGTCCCTGGCCTCTGCCCACCAGATACCAGTGGCACCCACCCAAGTTGTGTCCTAGTTGTGAAAATCAAAAGCCACGCAGGAGAAAACAATCAAATGTCTAAATTCAGGTGGTCCCCACCTGTCGATTTTTTTTGTTAAAAACACTTTTGGGCACAAGTCATTTGCTTGAAACTCATTTCACCTGTTTTTGATATAGTGCTAAAGTTATAGTGTGTGAGTTCCCAGGCTTAACCCCATGAGGCTTTTTAGCTCCGCATGTTGCTGAGACGTAGAGGGTAGCCTTAAACTCCCCATCTCCTTGGTCCGTGAGTGAAAGGCAGCTTGGTGAATCCAAGAAGTGTGCAATGAGTTACAATCTACAATCAGTAACCCCTAGAGCAGTGGTTCTCAACCTTCTGGCCCTTTAAATACAGTTCCTCATGTTGTGACCAACCATAAAATTATTTTCGTTGCTACTTCATAACTGTGATGTTGCTACTGTTATGAATCGTAATGTAAATATCTGATATGCAGGATGGTCTTAGGCAACCCGTGAAAGGGTTGTTCAACCGCCAAAGGGGTCGCGACCCACAGGTTGAGAACCGCTGCCCTAGAGATCCCTTTAATGTCTCCGGTCTCCTTTATCTTCCTGGTACATATTTGGTGGTTGAGAAATATTAGTTACTCTTCTAGGGTTGCCATAATTGCATCAAACTAGGGAACCACTAGTGACTTTATGTAAATCATATGTGATCTTATTTCATCTTTACACAATGCTGAGGGGGAGCTGTTACTGCATGTGCTAGCGCCTCTCTCTCTCCCTCTCTCTCTCTCTCTCACACACACACCCAGTTTGCCAAACCATACAAAACCATATTAGAAAACATATTTAAATTCATTCATAATTTTCTATAATTGCTTTGGATATCAAAAAAGGTTTCCAAATTAATTATGTAATGTAATTAATTATGTTGCTCTTTGAATGTAAAGTCAATTAAAACCCAATACTACCCTTATTTTAAGGATGAAGAAACCAGCTTTTGTTGTCTTCTGTCTTATCTTAAAACTAGAGGCCTGATGCACGAAAATTTGTGCAAGATTAGGCCTTCCTTCCCTGGCTGCCACCACCGGCTTTCCTTCAGCACTCGGAACCCAGGCTTCGCTCCGGCCCAGCTTCATCCGGAAGGACGTCTGGAATGATGCCCCGAAGGACGTCTGGTCTAATTAGCATATTACCCTTTTATTATTATAGATGAAAAGGGAATTCCTAAAGAGTCGATTCTATTAGTAGAGCGTTAAAGGTCATGGGACATATTAATGACTTTTTTTATACACTCAATTGTTTATCTCTTTCTTGGCCAAAACTCCAGGTTCCTAGTCAAGGCTAACTCCAATTAGACCTGCAGAAAACAGGGCTGCATACCTGGATAAAATCGCTCGTAACTAGTGCTGATCTTGCTTGGTTTCAGCAAAGGGGGAAAGCAAAAAGCTGGAAACTAGCAAGCAGTCCTCCAAATGCGGACGTGCAAGCCCTCCCGTCCTTTCTCCAGAAAATGTCCTGATATCTCATTGTTGCACTCAGATTTCTTGGGAATTGGGAAGTGGGACTGCTGGGAATGGAGGCAGTGGCAGTGGGAGCTGCGGCCCTGATGATACCAAGACTGAGCAAACAGGAGCTGGGAGGTGGGGTAGGGAGAGGCGTGGAGAGAGCAGGGATTGACAGGCACGGGACAGGGATGCTGAGGGCAGGTGCAAGGCAGACGGGTCTGTTCCAAAAACTTCAATGGTTCCTACCATGTGCCAAGTCTTAGTGGGTGTGGATGGAAGAGGGCCAAGACTGCTGGGCAGAGACCCTTAAATTCAGAGCCGGGTAAGCTTGCTGGCAACTGCGCTATCAGGCAAAGAGAGATGGGGAAGCTAACGTGTGAGCTAGGCAGGCCCCACCAGGCACACTGTCATCTCTAGTTTTCATTAATTCACAACCTGCCTGTGAGATGGTAGTGTTGTTCCCATTTTCTGAATGAGAATCAGAGAAGATAAGTGACTTTCCCAAGGTCACAGAGCTAGTGAGTTGCGAAGGCAGGATTTGAACCCAGGTCAATATTTCTGCTTTTCCTACTATATCTCAATTTTTAATTTTATAGAGAAAAATAGTCAAATACCAATACAATCAAATACCAAATATCAATACAATACCAATGATGATATATAACATCCTCTTAATTCGCTGAATGATGATATAAAGCCACAAGAGAAAAGAAGATCTGAATGGTCACGGAAGCCTTTTCTGGATCTCTTATACCAAGTCACCCAAGCATCTGTCCATCATCAAGCACGGACAGGACTGTACCAGGCATTATCTGGAGCACTTTACAAGCATTATCCCTTTCCAAGGAGGGAGATGTTATTCGCAGGTTACAGAAGAAGACACCAAAGCTCAGAAAGGTCAATTAATTTGCCCAAAGTCACACACCTGGTAAGTGGCTAAACTGGAAGTTTGTCCGCCTGACCTCTCCTTTCCTAGGTAATTGGAATGTAACGGGTGGCCTCTTTGATCCCATCTAGAGTAGGTCTTTGAAATGAAACATTTGCAGCAAAACAACTCGCTTCCCCCAGAAGCAAATTACTATCGGAAGCACAGGAAGCAGAACAAAAAAAAGTTTGAGTTACTATCGAATGATCCAGTATTCTCATTCATAAATAAGGCAGCACACCCAGGAGGCAGGGGTCTGCCTGGACACACAAGACCAGGCCCGCAGGTAAGTCCAGCCCAGCCTTCTGGGCCCAGCAGTGAGACTCGTCACCCTCAGTGCCCAGGGGACAGCCACAGTCAATTTTTAACTCCAAACTATAAAAACAGCCATCAAACGTTTTTAATATCCTCTTGATCTTTTTGCTGAGAGTAATAAATGAATGTCATTTCCCCAAACAGCAAGATGTGAGCCAGGTCAAAGTCAAGGCCAAGTTCACCTGGAGCTGTTTGCTCTGCTTCTCTTATAAACAATCTTATCTCCCTCCCTGCAACTGTCCACCCCCTTATTTTGTGATAACACGATCATTGAGGAACTAGCAATAAGCAGCAAGGAAAAAAACACCACGTCTAATTTCACCACCTGGAGACAACCATTTTGCAGTCAAGTCTCCCGGTCTCTGTATTCTACTTGGCAACGTAAGATTATAAACATTTTTAGGGGTGGCATGAAACGATGCCATGGGAACACTGTCTCAGGCCATGAGCCTCCTCAAGTGTAGTGGCTCTACAGTGATCGGATGGGTGGAGACACACGCGGAAGCATCTGCACGCGGTGGGTGGCACCAGGCTGTGGCTTCCGACTTGGGTGCTCTGCTCTAGGAAGAGGTCTACGCAGCCCTGAATCCCGCACAATCACACGAGTGGGCGTGGAAGGGGACCCGCAGCTCTGACTGCAAGCCTCAGATGAGACCAGCCTCAGCTAATAGCTCAGCTTTCCCCTCATGAGCCACCTGGAGTCAGAGGATCCAGGTGAGCCCCATGGGTTCAGGTCCACAGACACTGTGAGACAATAAACATTATTTAACCAGCTAAGTGTGGGGGGATTTGCTATGTGGCCATAGGTAACTAACACAGTGGTGAAGGGTGTGAGTCCTGGGGCCACACTGGCTCAGCTCCAAGCCTGGTTCAGCCCCTTGCTAGCTCTGGGCAAGTTCCTTCATTTCTCTGAGCCTCACTTTCCTCTGTCTGATGGAGTTGTGGCAAGGGCTAAATGGTTAAGGATAAACTATTATTCCTATAATTTAAAAAACCATTTTCCTATTGTTACTTGCCCATAAGCAGTGTATGACAATGCACATATTATGGTAACTTTGCCAACACTGTGTTTTATTATTAAGAAACTCTAAAAAAAACCCAAAGGCTGGCCAGTGCCTTTGTCTCCAGGCAGTCTGTCTATCTATCTATCCATCCACCCATCCATCCATCCATCCATCCATCCATCCATCCATCCATTATCTATCCATCATAATAGAGATGCCAAATTGATAGGCCAAAAAAAAACACAACTCATTGCGTTTCTGAATCTGGCATAAGTGTGCCAAAGATTCGACTCCAGCTGAGAAATCGCAGAGCTGAGTAACTCTGATTTAGCCCCTTCTATTTTTTTGTATTGTGTCTCCATATCCATGCTTATAAAATGGGAGTTAGGACACTCCCCACCTTACTGTAAATATCAATTTGAAGTGCTTTCACAGGAGCCATTTCTTTAGATACAAGTAACTTGTGAAGCAGGGAGGATTATCATTGTCATCCCCACTTTCCTGATGGGAAAACTGAGGCTTGGAGTTCTGCCCATTGCTTAGGCTCACTGGGCTAATAGGTGGTGGATGAAGCCAGTAGCCCAATCTTATGAGTCTTAATCCATTGCTCTTTCCTTGATTCCTCCAGAGGAAGGCTCAGATGTCCTTGAGAATGACCTTCAAAGGCTGAGCCACATGTGCCACCAGGCTGGAGTGCCCCAGGGGCCACGCTCTCTTTCCTCTGATGTATCTTCAGCAACCAGCACAGCGCTCCGAACCTCGGAGGTGGCTCCACAGTATTAGTTATGGAACGAATGAATCTTCCATGCCCACGACTCTCCCTCCTACTTGGTGCAAACTAGACCTGGATTATTCTGGTTTCATTTTATTTTTAACATAATGATAAGCATTTACATGCGTCTCTTATGATTAAATAAAACAAAACAAATCCTCCAAACCTACTAAGGCTACCAAGGTGGAGAACAACAAGAAAAGACTGAAAAGCTGTCACAGAGCAAGGAGATGGGGAGATGTGACAATGTGCAAGTGGGAAACTGGGTGAGGGACATATGGGCTCTCTCTGTACTACCTTTGTAACTTCTCTGTATACCTAAAATCATCCCAAAGTAGAGAGCATGCTAATATTCCCGGGAGAGGAGCGAACATTGTCTCACCCAGGATACAAACATGCAAACCAAGGACACGCCAGCCATTTGCCTTCAGAAGGCAGACAGGACTGACAACAATAAGGTGACACTGTGATGACAAGCATGGGGCTCCCAGAGAGCTGGGGACAGCCTGGAGACGCCAGGTGTGCGAAGGGAGGTCACTGCTAGCCTCTGCCTCTCTCAGAGCCGCATGGATCCATGTGCTGTGTGACCTTGGGCAAGTGACTCTGCTTCTCTGAGCTGCAGTTTTCTCACTTGCGGAATGGGATTCACTCCTGCCGTCCTCCTGGGACCACTGGGAGGGGGGCCTCTTGAGATCATGCAAGCAGGGTGTTCCCGGATGAAGCTCACTTGGCTAAGCTGCCTGAACTCAGTGAGGCGGAGAGAAAGGGGAGCCTCCGAGAGAGCCAGAAGGCAGGTGAGCAGGCGGTGGGTGTGGGGGGTGGGAGGTGAGGGAGAGGGAAGTGGTGTGGGACATTCCAGGGAGGCCACCTCCTGTCTAGTGCCATTGAGCACAGCTAGCCTTTACATCAGTTACAAGGACTCTTGTTACTTTCTTTGTTTCTTGGCAGCAGTTCGAGTTGTGTGTTTTGCCTGATGGTCCCTGTGGGAACAGCCTGGGCCTTTCTAGCTGCTGGGGCCACCACCTCTGCGCAAGTGGGGGGATCAGCTCCCTGCCCACTGCAGAGCTGACCGCCTGGGGAGCAGAGATGGGGGAAGGGCAGGGGGTGATGGGGAGGGTTTTATGGGGGTGATGGGACAGCCCTGGAAGCACTGGCTGGCCAGTGACTTTGTCCCCAAGGACTCTCCCACTCGGAATCCCTAGTCTTGGTCATGCTCCTGCTACCGCCAGGACCCCCAGAGCTTACCGGGCACGAGCAGGCGGCAGTTGTGCTGGAAGCTGCAGGCCAGCCGCCGGGTGAGCAGCATGGAGGCCATGATCCCCTCCTTCGGGAACAGAGGCCGCCCTCACACGCTCCCCCTGAAAGAACCAGGAGCAGAATTAGGCCAGCGAAGACCACGCCCCCTCCGGCCACGTATCCCACCCCCTCCACGTCCCTCAGAGTGTGGAAAGTGCTTCTGACATCAAACCCTCTGCTTTCAGACGGAATACACACTGTAAGTCATTTTCATTTGGCCTTGACCATACCCCGGTGTCAAAAAATAAAAAATAAAATAAAATAAACGGAGCCACTTTAAAACGGAGCCGGAGCTGCCTTGCAGAGAAACTGCCTTGCACGCCTCATGCCTCAACTCTTGGAATGTTAGAACGGGATGCAATAACCTTTGGACGGAGACGGAAGCAACCCTGTTTCCGGAGAAAACTGCTTGCAAAGATACCAAGAAAGCAGCTATGACTACCAGACTGAAATGTAAAAACATTCTCCGCCAATAGAAATGCCTTCCTTCTGCTGATGCAATTGTCCCCCTGCCCCCTCATAGAGGCCCACTGCCTTCGTCTCCGAATCGGAACACTAGTTGCACTCCTTCCCGAATCCGTGGGTGTGTCCCAAATAGCTGTTCTTACTGATTTCAAATACATGCTTGTCTGCCTCTCACTTTGAAAGGCCCTTTCATTTTTAACACCAGGTGGGATGATCACCCCATTTTCTAGGTGGTAAAACAGAGAGGGGGTAGAGTTGGCTTGAGATGTCGCTGCAGGCGAGCACCTGGGGCAGCCGACAAGTCTGTTCTCTGCACAATGGAAGGACCAGGATGGAGGAAACTGCAGAGCAGCCGTCGGTGTGGGAGGCCGGGTGCTCCCTCTGCCTTGTTCTCACGCAGGCTATTGGGCGTTGGGCTGCGCGGGAACCCTGTGGACAGGGGAGCAGCTGGTGGGCCATTTTGGGGGTGTACGTCTCCAGTATGAACAACCATCCTGAGTTTGCTTGGGACTGAGAGGGTTCCCGGGATGTGGGACTTTCCAATTTGAACCTGGACCCGTCCGGGCAAACTGGAGAGTTAGCCTACCCAGCACCAGGAGTCAGGGTTCTCAGCCCCCACTTCACAGGGCGGGGGGCTGATTCCCTCCAGACTGGTCCCGAGTCGTGCCCCCAAATACCTGAGCTTAGCTTTGCTGGCTGCCTTTTGCATCACCGGCTGGGAACAAGCCCCATTGTTTGCTTGTTTCCTTTTATCACCTCTTCCTCCACAATCCCGCCCCGCCCCCCCCGCCCCGCTCTCCTCCCCCCTCCCCCCACAAGCCACCATTCAAACATGCTCTCTGTGCATCTTTCTGTTTATGAATCTTCTTGCTGAATGCCGGCTTTGTCATCTGGAACCTGGATTTTCAATTGTATTGTGTTGTATCTCGGAACAATGACTGAAGCGCTCACTTCTCACTACTACTTGTAGACCCTGCTTCCCAAATCCTTTCTGCGTATCGCACATGGTGCCAAGCGCTTCACATACAGGACTACTAATATTTGTCATTATTATCTGCACCCACAACAATGCTAAGTGTCCCCTTTTTACAGATGAGGAGACTGAGGCACAAAGTTAAGTGGTGTTCCTGAAGACAGAACTCAGATCTGTTTGGCCACAGAGTCAGCAGACTTCACCACTACACTGAATCCAAACACTGCCTGGATGTCCATCCACTCATTCTGCAACAAAGCACTCCACTGAGCACCAACTCGATGGATGGCAACTTGGAGGAAGCATCAACTAGAGGCGATGGACACAGATCCAGAGAGATCCCGCCGTGCAGAACGGAACAAGGGTTGGTTTCAGAAAGCCACGTGCACGTGGGCTTAGCAGCACAGGTGAGGAAATGCGTGAGTGCCTGGCACGGAGCTCTGGATAATGGTGGCAGCACCCTCCACCCAGGGCCCTCACAGCTAATGAGGTATCGGACTTTATTATTAGAAGCAAAGAGTGAATGAGGGAGGGAGGTGGTAGGCACTGACTTGAGGATATTCACTCATGCTGTGAATATTCATGGTGCACCTATGTGCAGGTCCTCCACTAGGGACTGGGTACAGGGGTCAATTAGATGGTCACAGTCCTCGTCCTCTAACTATTATCATGTCTTGAGAAATTCTATGTGCAGGCTGGTGCTGCAGATACCATCTCATTTCATCCTCAGAGCCCTGGGAGGTGGCTGCCATCATTAACCTGATCTCACAGATGAGGCAGCGGAGGCTGCCCAGGGGGGAGGGTGCAGCACACCATGCCTCCCCACTCTCACAACGCCCCCCTCTGTCAACAGGGGTGCAGACCTGACAGCTATGTCTGTTCTGTGGGACCTCCTGGCCCAGGTGAACTGGACCGGGCTGGGCCACAGTCCAGGGAGCTGTGGGTCAGCTACCCTCGACCCGCTGAGAGGAGCCAGCTTTCAAACAGGGTCTCTGGATGGAGAAGCAGCGCCAGAGAAAGGAAGTGGGTCCTGCAGGTAGGGGACTGGTTGGTTCCATGTCAAGCCTGCAACCCAGCTTGGCATTGGATGCACCACTCACTCCTGAACTAGTGAGTGAACCTGAGTCCCCCTTGCCCTGGGTGAGGACGGGGAGAGCCAGAGTGTTTGGCTCACAGAGGCCCCTCCACGTGGCAGGAAACATGAGGGGCCAGGGAAAAGTGTTCCCACCCTGAGAGTGCCTTGGTAAGAACGTTCAGAAAGCACCCTCCCTCCTATGGGGCTTGCTTGCATCACCTTCAATGGAGTTCTGTCGCTTACAAACAGCGACCCAGCTAATAGCACGGTTAGAGTATCAGACTGACAGCCCCAAATCTTGGGAGCGCATTGGGGGTAACAGTGCCTCTTCCGCTCAGCACCAGCACAGCAGGCGGAGAAAGGCCCCGCAGGGCAGCTGAGGACAGACTTCACGGCCAGCAAACCTTCCTCTCTCTGGGGGACCGGGATTCCTCCAGGTGGAAGTGGCTGTGGTGTGCGGTTGCTGGGTGAGATTCTGCGGGGCACTACATCCCCCTCAATCCGCTCAACCACCCAGGCATTTCAGAAACGAGGAGACGGAAGTTGGGAGGGGTATGGTATTGGCCTTGGTCAGGTCAGAAGATTGCGTGGGACTGTGTGACCCCAAAGCCCAGTCATTATAGCACTTCAATTAATTCGGCAAATAACAAAACACCCAATGGTAGTAGTTATGAAGCTTGATGAATACAAATAATTTTGTTCTAAAGAAATGTGTATCGCCCTTTACCAGAGGGAAATATTACTGAGAAAGGCAGGGCTTGGAAACCATACTCTTTCCTTGAAAACTCAAGGGATTTTTAAAATCTATTCCAGAATATTCAACTCAAGGCAAGCCTGTGAATGCAGCAGCACAGTAAGAAAGTGCAGTTGCTGGCTCTCATTTAAAATCGTTGGTCTCAAACAGGAGCACTTGACTCCACACAGTTCAATTGACATTAACCAGGTTTTTAAAAAATTCGAGAATCTCAGAGTACTCGAATTTGAATGCTCTGCAAAAGGGGGAGTCACACCGCACACTTTCAATTTCGAAACGTCACTTTGTGACCTATCTCTCCATGACACATGGTGGCCCGCAGGTGAAATTGACCTTATAACCAAACCTGACCTCCATCAGACATTAATTCTTAGCACCACACATTCCCAATAATCAGAAGAGTTCATGCCTTTTGTTCACTTCCTCTGGCCCATTAATTCAATCAACAAGATTAATTAGCTCCAGTTACAGGCGCGGCACTGCATTATTTAGACGCAGGAGAAATGGGATGAATAAAACGCTCTCTCTTTCCAAAGCTCATAATTTAGTGGCAGAGGAGTGAGGGGGGGAGAATGGGAGAATTTAATATACTAGGTGGCTTTACCCATCATGCCAATAAATTCTTAAAATTACCTGGGAAGATATGTACAGTACATAAAAATTTTCCAGTTCACTGTCAACAGCTAATTCTGTATAAGGCAGAATAGAATAATGGAATCATGACTATCTGCTGGTATGAGCACGATGCCCTGGGAACACACAGAGATTCATCCTGGCGGAGTTACGACGCCAATAAGGCACAGAAGAAAGGGGGGTAAGGCCTGAGCAAAGGCTCAGAGGCGAGAGGATGTGGAATGGTCAAGGACTCGGGAGTGAAGTGGTAGAGCGGTGGAAGGGAAGCTAAGGGGGAGGTTCTGGGGTCGCTGAGGAAAGGGGCCCAGCATGCAGCAGATTCTTCCTGGGGACATGCTCTGCAGCCCCTCAGATGCAAGCTGGCCACAGGGAAGGCAGAGCTGCTGGAGCATGCGCGGTGGGCGCCCGGGTTCCTGCGGCCCTGTGCGTGGGGGTAAGTCCCTAGCAGCACTGGTGCAGGCTGCCACCACCTCTCGCCTGGACGAGGGCAATGATGTGCTCGGTGGCCCCTCGGCTTCCTCTCTTGCTCTCTTTCCATCCATTTTCTATTGGGCCCCTGACCTTTTTAAAGAACAATTCATACATCACTCTCTTGCCTATAACACTCCAATCGCACTTAGAGAAGTGTAAACCCCGAGACAATGGGGGCTGGGTTTTTCTGAGCTCAGCACAGTTCCCAGAGTCAATGTATGTAGCAAATAAACTCAACACGTCTGAGCTGTGAAATGGGCACAGCACCGCTAGCCTTTTAAAGTAGATCTGAGGATTCATATTAAAACTTGTGAGCTCGGCCCGGCTGGTGTGGCTCAGTGGGTTGAGAGGTGTCCCACGCAAGAGGTTGATGGTTCAATTCCTGGTCAGGGCACATGCCTGGGTTTCAAATTCAATCTCCAGTTGGGGGCGTGCAGGAGGCAACCGATGGGTGTGTGTGTCTCTCTCTCATTGATGTTTCTCTCTCTCTCCCCATCTCCCTTCCTCTCTTTCTAAAAATCAATAAAAACGTATTTTAGAAAATTTGTAATGTGTGAGCCAGTCTGAAATTTGTGTTAAAACAACTTAACAATATTCCCCTCCCCCAACATGAAGTCATTGGGTTCCCTGGGCGCGCTACTCCTACCCCCGAAGTGGCGGGAGACCGTCCACCACG